CTCGTTCTGTGTTGGATCCGTATGGGGAATTTTTCAGCGAGGCTCGCGGTAGTGGCGGTAGTGTCTAGTCTAGTGTAATGCGTGCTCGTAGTACGCACGCGCGTGTCGCGGCGCTTGGATGCCGCGTGGTGCTATTTCCATTCCGCGCCGGCCGCATCGTGTGTCAGTGTCTGTGCGTGTGTGTGTGTGTGTGTGGTGCATCGCGCGCATCGAGGGGCCGGATCATCTTGACACGCACACGCGCACACACAAAGACACACACACACAGACCGACACAAATACAGTCGTGGCCAATGACCCGGCCAGGTGTTGGGCCTCCAAGTCCAAGCTGAAGGAAGCTGGACAGTTCGACGTGTAGTGCACGAAGTCCAAGTCGGCACCCGCCAAGTCGATGACCTGGCCGCCACGCAGAGCGGCGCAGAGCCCTTGCCCTTCCCCCGCCACGCCGCACTACGCTGCACCAGTAGTGCGATTCCGCTGCGCGCACTTTTGGCTCTGTCTCTCTCGCTCCCCTACGGCACGCTCCACGAGTGCGAGAGAACAGAGCGAGGAGTGCGGGCAGCGCAATGGGACTGCAGGAAGGCGAGGCGAGGCGCCTGCAGGTGCCGCGGTAGGCCCGCCCGCCGGACTCGAGCGTCGCGCGGGCAGCGGCGGTCCGGGCGGGCGGAGGGGGGAGAGGGGAGGGGGAGAGGCAGGACCGGAATGTCGACACGACTTTGGCAGAGGACAGAGGACTTGTTGACAAGCGATCGGATGGATTGTCAATTGTTATGCGGCGTTGAGGAGCCGGAATGGACACCCCGCAGGGTCTCCGCGGGGAAGGGCATGCAGGCCGGGGACCTGTGCAGAATGTCCCGCGCGCGCGCAAACGCACACACACACAAACACGTCATGCCCTCACAAACTCACAAACTCACGCACACAAACTCACCTAAGTTACATACACACACACATGCCTCCCTGGCGCCGCGCCAGCCTCTCTTTACCATTATTCGTCCCCTCGTACTTCGTACCGCTCCTGCGTCCGCCTGGCGTCCGCCCTGGCGTCCGCCTGGCCCTCAGTCATCCGTCTCTCTCATTTTCCCCCTCCTTGCCTAACGAAGAAGATGGACCAACTCTGAGCGGCCCGGCGTTCTGGGGCGGTTCACACCACTCTGCCACCGCCGCGCCCCGCCGCGCCCCGCCGCACCCCGCCACGCCCCGCAGCCCTGAACGCCGCCAGGGTCCCGTCGAGTCGAGCCCCCGGCCCCCGGCGCGTCGTCAGTTGGTGTCACTGTGGTATCGTCTGTGGGTCGCCCTGCCCCGCGACGCCCGCGCCGTCCGCGCCGCGTCCACGACGCCCTGCTTCGCCTGCTGCGGCACCGCGCACGCCGCGCACCTGGAGCACTGCTGCATCATGGAAGAGCACGCGCACCAGGTGAAGGGCGTGGACGGCGGCCTCCGGGATGGCGGTCGGGCCGAAGCACGTCGGGCCGCCCCTCTCGCCGGGCGCTGTTCAAACTTGGAAGAGCTTCCTTCGGCGGTGGCGTTCGATTAAAACTTGTTGTCGAGTGGGGCCGGCCGCCGGCCGTAACTCTGGGCAGGTTCTCGCGGTTCTCGTTCTCGTGTCGGTTTTGCAAGGCGCTGCGCTGCGTCGCGGAGTGATTTACTGTGGCGGGCCGAACCGGGACCGGGCTGGGCCGCCGGGCCATCGCGAAGCACCAAGCGCGCAGCTTAGCGCGGGCTTTGCGTGAGGACGCGGCCCAGGACTGTCTGTGCCGTCAAAAGCCTCACGCATGTGTGAGTGAGTGAGTGCGAGAGAGTGCGAGTGTGAGGAGAATCAAAATGTCCCCCTTCGCTGCTGCGAGCAGGGGCAGGGCCAAACTCACACAGGCGAGTGTGCATGTGTGCTGCGGCTGGCTCTGGCTTCGGCGACGCTGGTTGGCGCGGTTTGCCCCCGACCCCCACCCCCCTCGCCATTTCCCCTTTTCCTCGAGTGGCAGCTTTCTGCGCCACGCCGTGCGGCCGTTTGCTATTCCCGTGCCCGTCCTGCAGAGGCCCTGCCTGGCCCTGCCTCGCCCTGCCTGGCCCTGCCCTGCAGACTGATTCGGGGAGTCGTTTTAGTCGCTGACTCTCTCGCACCTATACGGGTCGCCCCGTGAGTGCGAGGGAGACAGAGCGACGAAAACGACTCCCTGAATCAGTCTGTCTCATGGCCCTGCGCCACGAGGACTCGATCTCCGAGGTAAAGGGCCCTCTTGGAGCCTTCCACGGCGCCGTCGTCGTCCTGGCGTCGGCCTGGTGTGGCCCCAGGTCAGCCCACGCCGCCTCACCTCACCTCGACGCGGCGCAGCGCGGCGTTGGGATAGGGGCCTCGCACAAACAAACAAGTCGCTCTGCATTTGGACAGACAACGCCTCGCCCCGGGGATCATTGAGGCCGAGCCAGTTCACTGCCGACGCCACTGGGTCTGGGTCTGGGTTTAGCTTTTTCGGAACTCGCGCATAAGCCTTCCTTCCTCTGCGGCCTCTAGCCAGCCGGCCTGGCAACGCTGATTTCCTCCTCTTGATTGTGCGACCGACGTCGTCGGCGTCGTGACGTCGTCGTCAGCAGTTATGCCGCGCTGCCGCTGCACCATGGGGACCAAGGGGGAGGGATTCGGAGGGGGCCTGCGGATGCGCCGCGCGTCGCCGCTGCATACTAATGATGGGCTCAATTTGCTGCGACCAAACACATGTGTCTGGCCCTGCTTTGCCTGCTTCGGGTGGCGGGGCGCGGCGGGGCGCGGCGGGTGGTGCACTACAGTTGCATCGACGCGCCTCTCGCATGACTCGCCGCGCACCGTCAGCGCGCCGTGTGCTCCGTGACGTTCTCTGGGCGCGTGACGGCGGCGCGTCCTGCAGCAGGCCATGCAGCGCACCGTGCTCGAAGGCGAAAGTGACCGGGAGGACGATTTGGCCAACACCTCTCTGGGGTGCGTCACTCCACCCGCGTCACTGCGACAAGGGTTGCCGAGCGCGTTGCTCTGGACTATCCCATTTTTCACGATGCGTGCTGCGCGGCTGCGCGCTCCATGAGAGGGGCTCGACTTGTCCCCCTCCAGCCCGCATCCTGTGCGTGCCCCGCGGTCCCACAGGCTCCCTGGTGACGGCCAACGGCGTCGTCCGTCCCGCTCACTCCCGCTGCCGCGGCCGCCGCGGACCCGGCATGGCGATAAGAGGTTCGGACGCGTCCCTGTGGCTGCCGGCCTGCCGGCGGCGGGAAGGCCCCCGTCCCCGCCCCGCCGCCTTCCCCGCCCCGCCCCTCCGCCGCGCGGGCAAGCGGGCCGCTCGCCAGGACGCCGTCGTCAGCGTGGCCCTGGGTGGGCAAAGGCCGAGCCAAGCAGAGGCCCCGGTCGAACCGAAGCGAGCGCACGTGAAAGCCGAGCGAAAGCGCGAAAGCCTTCGAGTCGGCTTCGGCTTGCGGCATCCCCAGTGCTCTTTGGCCGCGTCCAGGACCCTCCCTAGTCGCGTATCGTGTCTCGTGTGTCCGGTGGAGTGACTCTTGCCCCCGCGTGGGTAGTGCCGTCGCGAGTGAGTGTGTGCGTGTGTCGTCGCGTAGGTGTGCGCGCAACAGTGAAGTGCAGTGCTAGTGTTCGAACGTGGTGTTGTTGTTGTTCTAAGTGGTGCAATGTGAGTTGAGCAGAGAGTGAGCAACAAGTTAGACGGTGACGGTGTCGGCAGGCCCGCCCCCCACGCCCACCACGCCGGCAGCGCGCCACAGCGCGCGAGGGACTACCGCGCCGCACTACCCGTCAACAGCAGCGCCGGCCCGAAAACGGCAAAAAACGCGCCTGCCTTCGCCGGGATTCGAACCCCAGCCCGCTGTGTGGGCAGCATCGCCCCGCGCTGCGCCTGGCCAATCAGCTCCCCTGCCCACGCCGCCGCGCCCACGCCGTGCAGCGGCATGCGGCTGCAGCGTTACGTGATTCGCGGACAGAATGCGGGCGCCCTTTGGGAGGACAATACCACGGCGGGAGGGGAGGGGAGGGGAGGGGCCCGTGCGTGTGGCGGTCGGGGGCACGGGGGAGGACGGGGTGCGCGACTCCTGCGTGGCTATTTTCAAGCTGGCCGCGGGCTACTCGGGCGTTGGACCGTTGGACCACCCGTGGGGGAGGGGTGGGGGGGGGGGGGGGAGTAAACGCGTGTCGTGGGGGCGGGTGGGTTGGGGGCGGGTTGGGGGTACCTGCCGGCTCGGCGTCGCGGAAGGCAGGGGCGGGTAGGGGCGGGTACCGATGTGTGCCGGCTTCAATAGCGGGCACCTGGGGACGGCTTTGCATTTGGGTTACCGGGCCGGTCCGCCAGCCACATGCCGGCGGGCTGGGCGCTGCTCGCGCTGCTGGGGGTGGGATGGGGAGCACGGGGCCTCGCCAAGGACGAAGGACCGCGTCCGGTTTGGCTTTGGGTTGGCACACCGCGCCGCACGGTGCACACGGTGGCCGGCGGGACCCCGTCGGCGTGGATGCCGATAGTGGCGACCGCGGCGGCGAGACTGCCCACTGGGCCGGCCCGCCCCGATGAAGGGTTGCAGTGTGCTTGCACTGTTTGCCGAGCAGGGCCGCTTGTTTGGCGTGTACACGGAGTGCACGCCGGGTTGGCAACACTGTCGCGGAGAAAGGAACGGACCGAGCGGCCGCCGGGCACGCTGTATATGTATTTGCTGTCGCGGCGACCACGGCGACACCGCCCGCTTATCAAGCTCCCCCTCCCCCTTCTCCTCCCGGGGTGACCCGCGGGCCGGCACCGCTCCGCCATGACCAGCGTGTCGTCGATAAGGCGCGGGATGCTGGCCGCGGTGATGCTGGCGGACGGACCGCACAGCAGACGACGTGGGATGTGTTTCCCCACAGCCGAATGGGAAGGACCAGACGAGTTCTCAACATAATTTCTCAACAAGAAAGAACGCGAAGCAAGCAAGCCGCGGCGGGTTTAGGGTCATTCATGAGGGCTTCGGCGCGGCGGGGCGGGGCGGCGTGGCGGGGCGCGGGGCAGCCTTGGGCAGAAAGGACTTGACTCGATGATGACTGCGAGCGAGCAGCTGCGTCATGTGGGGACCGGCGCGAACGGGCCAACGCTACGCGGGCCACGTGACATGTACTCTGCTTCGATCGGCGAGGCTGGCGAGGCTGGCGAGGCGAAACAGCAGGGCCTTATGGCTTATGGCCTCATGGCGCGGGGCCTTCGGTTCCCACACAGTGATGCGCCGAGCTGACTTGCCAGACGACCGACGGCTGGTCGTAAAGCAGAGGGGCGGTTTTCATTCGCCGAGGTTTAAACTCGGTCATGGTTCGCCGGAAGCGAGAAAGTACCGCACCGCAGAGGCACAGTCGGTGCCACCGAAACAGAACCGAACCGAACCCACCCGTTGGTACCCGGCGGCCACCCTGCGCGTCAACCGCCAGCCATTGATGTTCTTTTTGACGGCCACGGCCACCCCACCCAGATCGCCGCCGTCCTAGAGTGCCCCACGTCCTCTCGCCATGACGCCCCCTGAGGCGTGGCCGCCCGAGGGCGCCACCCGGGCACCCTAGCACCATGCTGGCCGCGCTCTGCGTCATCATGAAGATCGTCGAGCAGATGACGGGGCGGGACGGGGCCTGCGAGGCCGCCGTCAACGCCGCCCCCGCCGCCGGCACCTCGCCGCCGGCCCGGTACGGCCTCAGCAAGAAGAACATCAACAGGAACAACAGCACGCTCAAGAATGAGAAGGACAAGTTGTTGTTCCGGAACATTAATCATGACAAGAACAACAACAGCAAGAACAATGAGGTGACGGAGTACCGCAACAACCTCAACAAGCGCGTCAACAATGTCAACAACGTCTGGCGGACGCAGCACCGCATGCTGGAGTGGCACCGCCGCAAGCGCCACAAGCTGGAGGAGAAGGAGAAGCGCAGGAAAGGTGAGGAACCGACTAACGACTAACCTTGCGCACCGCCTCGCGCACTGCAACCACTAACCAGGAGGCTGGAGTTCGATCGTTCGGACCGGCGACTACCAGTTTATTATTCTGGTAGTCTCGAACTCCGAAACAACACGAGAGCTCACACTAAAAAACAACAAAATTAGTTCCTAATCCGAGAGTATTTGCGTCTCACATCGAGAGCACCTCCTCGATGTGAGCTTTCGGGTGAAAGCGCTTATTTTCTCAAGACCCTTCCCGTTTTACGCCTTACAGGCCACCGTGTATTTTTACCCCTCAGAGGGCGCGTGGCCGCGTGGGCGGCGTATTGTCTTGTGTTGTTGTTGGTTTGTTGATGTTGTTGTTGTAGCTGTTGTTGTTGTTGTTACGTTTCTGGTCGTGGAGGGCCGAGATTACGCATGCACCACCTGCTGCGGGGCCGTGTCGCCCGGAGCAAACAACTTTTGTCCACCTTTCTATCAATAATTGTTGCTTTACGAGCGCGTGTGTGTGTGAAAGAGTTAGTGAGCTAGTGAGTGAGTGACCCCCTGGCACAACTGGCAGTGCGGGAGGGCGGCGGGCGTAGGTTCGAGTCCCGGCGTCGCGCGCCCCGCCCCTCGTGGGCGTGGGCGTCCTGCACTTGGCGCGGCTGGCGGTCATTGACGCGGCCAGGGCAATCATAGGGGCTGCGCCGGGCTGCGCCGGGCTGCGCGACCCACTCCAGGGAATGCCTTCCCTCAGGCTGTTCTCGCTGTTACCGTCATCGCCCAGGGGGGTTCGGGCCGAACACTGAGATTCGATGGTCGCGGACAATCACTCATGCACGTGTCCCCCAGAGCGTTGTCTCGGTTCGCGTCGACGGCACCGTTCCCCGCCGCGCCGTCCGCCCGTCGGGCAGGCCGTTCGAACCGCCGCGCTCCCTATTTTTAAAAGCGAGTAATTGCATCCGCTTCCTGGAGCTGCCTCTCGCTGCCGCTGAAGGGCCTGCGCTCTGCGCTCGGAAGTTCGGAGGCGGCGAGGCGGCGCTTGCTCCGATGCGGGAAACGCGGCGCGGCGGCGCGGCGGCACGACGGCGACCTCTTATGGACCGCGGCCCACAAATCAGGGCATCCTGTGACGCGGTGCGTCGCACGGGGAGAAAGGGGGGGTGGAGGCGCTCTTTGTTGTGGTGCCGAGGACGACGACGACGCGCAGGGTGCGAACGCGGCCCGGGGGGCCTCGGGCGCCGAGGGCATGTCCCCGACGACAACAGAGGCCGTGGCCGTGCCCCTGCAGTGCCCGTGCAGTGCCTGCACCCGACACGTACACCGCGGTGCAGTGAGTAATTGCCGGGGAAGCGGGGGAGGGCGACGGCGACGAGGACGGCGACGTGCCCCGGGGGGCTGAGGAGTGTACGACGCTCGCGTTACGCATGCTGCCACCTTCGCCCCGTCATTTTGAGCCCACAAAAAAAAAATCTATAAAAAGAAAAGGATTTCCGATCAGGCCTGCTTAACATGTCATCATCTGTCTCTACCGTTGGAATCAGATATCTTGGATTTGATTTTCCTATGCAAGCATCCCTCTTCTCTTTCATGCTCCTCCTCGGAATAACGCCTCGACCGAGCGCAAGTTTTGGGAGCAAAGTGGGCCAAAATGTCGACGATTCTCTGAACGTTCAAAATTGGGCTGACCTAGGCCGGCCACTGCCTCCAACCTAGCCACGGTCAAAGCATTCGCGTAACGTTCCTGGTTCTCTTTAGATCCTGTTCTTCCATGCCCCGCGTCTCTAAAACGTCTGAACGTTCGGTGTAATCCATGTTCGTCAAGGTGCTCTCGCTCCGGTCCAAAAAATAGCGTCGGTCGTGCCGCCGGAACCAATAAGCACGGCGCCGTACGATACGGTATGACGGCAGGAAGCCCCCCCCCCCCCAGGCCACGCCCTGCCACGCTACGCATGGCCAAGAAGTATGTCCGGCTGTCTGGGCGCGTCAACTTTGTGGTTACATGAATAGAGACACGCCATTTCTCTAGCACCCTTCCCGCGGCATTTTGTCGATGGCGCCCCCGCCCCCGCGTGTCTTTACACCAATCTGTCCGCCGCGACACGCACACAAACGCACGCGCACACACACACACACGCCCACGCGAGCGGGGCGCGGGTGAGGCGACCCAGACCCTGGACTTGAGGGTGCCCCTCGCCACCGACCGTGGAATATAATGAGCCTCGAAATAGAGTGTGGCGTGAAGGTGCTAATGACTCCCCAGCCCCACAGGATGCGATCGGCCTTTGTGGCATTCGCCGCGGCCCCTTTCACGCTTCGGCCCTCCGGCCCTTCGGTTTGCTTCGGCCCCTTCGGCCCGCGAGGGAAGTCCTAATTGGCGCCCCTCCTCGAAAACGCGCTGCTACCCGCTGCACCGCGCCCTCACCGTTGTCGGCCTGCCGGGCCGCCAGGCGGCAGCACCAGTCGCGGGGCGCAGTGTGGCGGCGTACAGTAGCGCGGCGGGGCGGCCCGCGGTTCGGCCGCCGGCCGCGAGGCGGCGCTGTGGTGCTCGTCGTCGTCGGCGTCGCCCGACCCGACGCGTGGGGCTTATCCGCGCTCCCCGCGCCGCGCCGCCGATTGGGATGGGGAGGCCGAGTCATGTGTGGCCGCTGTGCCAATCGCGGCTTGCCTTTATTATTTTCGGTCTTGCGCGGACTGGGGAGTCGCCTTCAAGTTGCTGTTGTCATGCCCCAGCTCCGGCGGCAGGACAAGTGAGTGGATTGGCTCACGCCAGGGCAGTCCTCGCCGCCCACGCCGGCCTCCGGTTCCTGCAGCGCGCAGCGCGACGTGCCGGGCCGGGCCATGTAGGGCAACATGTAGGGCGGTGTTGCACTCGGTGCAAAGCATGCAAACCGGAGCCACCCGCCGCGCCTTCTTACCCAAGTCGCTTCTTTCTCTCGGCTCCTCTTCGCCGTGCGGTGCGACCCGCGACCCGGGCCGCCGCCGCGACGCGTGACGCGAGGTTTGCCACCGCGCCGTTAATTGGAGCGTCGGCCCGCGTCTTTTACAGTGAGGCGGCGGCGCGGCGTTCGTGCTTCCCTTTGGCGCGGGCCGGCGAGCAGGCCGAGAAGCAGGCCAGGCAGGCCGTGCGCCGCGTGGGCCACAGGGATCAGAGGACCACAGCGCCGGCCGGCGGCGGTGCACCTCCAGCAGTTCAGCCACGCCCGCCATAACCGCTTCCCACCGCGCGCGACCCAGCCGTGCACACCTAAGTGGCGCCGCATGAGTGCGAGAGAGACAGACTGACAGACACACTGGTCGGAATGAGCCTGCAGCGCGGCGGTAGGCAGACCCGCAACGCACCCGCGTCGTGGTTGCGACTGACTACCGGGCGCTCCCCAAGGCTGTGGTTCTGGTTCAGCCGGGCTTTGAAAACCCGCGCCTTCAGTGACACCAAGTACCAGGCCGCCGTTCGGACTTGGCAGTGTAGCCCCGCGATGTGTTTTGCACATACGCTAGCGCGCTAGCGACATTGGGCGCTGGGTGGCCGTAGGGAGGGGCGGGGCGGTAGCTGGGCAGGTGCCCACACATTTACACTCTCACACACGCTCACGTGGTCGTCAGTTTTCGAGTGTCTCTCGCGACCGAACGGTATGCCAGCCAGCCCGCCTCGCGCCCGTGTGGGCGTAGGTACCCGCGTTGCCGTTCGTCGTACGCGAGCCTGGCCACGTGCGTGCACGCGAGTGTGTGTGAGTGTGTGAGTGTGCGCACGCGTAATGTGTAATGTGAACCAGTATCCGCAGGACGCGGCCGACGACTAGCTTCCTGGCGCGCACGCAGCAGGTCGAAGCAGGCGCGGTGTGGACTCGGTAAGGTGGGTGTATCGGCCATTTAGTGGTCCTGCAGGCTTGGCGGACTTGCGAGCGGACTTTCTAAACTGCACGATTGCGATTAGCTCTCGCGTGTTTATTGACAAGCAAATGGCTGCGGAGGAGGGCAGAAAGCCCTCGGATCGTCGCCACGCCGACGCCGTCCCCAACGAGAAGCCGCTCTCGCCCGCCTCACCGTCCTCTCGCCTCTCGCCGCGACCTGCAAATAATGGATGCAGAAAGTCGGTGAATAATTCGTGGCGCCGTTCACTGCAGCCGGCTCGTCGCTCTGTCTCTCTCGCACTCATACGGGACGCCGCCCTAGAGAGAGAAAGAGACCGGGTCTGCCTGGTGGCACCGCGCGCCGCAGTGCTGGTGGCTGGACGGGTAGCCCCCTGGTAGCCCCCGTCCATGTCCCCTGCCAATAGCGCTAACGAAGTGCAGCGAAGTGCGGCCAAGCGGCCACGCCAAGCCGGTCCGGCGGCAAGCCGATTGCAAGCAGTGTGCTAGCAGGCCGGCTGCTGTTGGATTTGATTTCCGCGGGGGCACCGCGCCATGCCGCCGCGTTGGTGCGGGCCCGGTGCACGCCGCTCGGCACGCCGTCACGGAGTCGCGGCGGCAGGCAGGGCAGGGCAGGGCGGCTCCCGGTCTAGATCCTGGGCCCCTTCATCACCTCGGGCGTGGTCATCGACAAGAACAATGGGCCGATACAGCGTGACGGCCTGACGGCCTGACACACTGGTGGCGAGACAAGACGGGACGTCGCGCTGCGGTCGCGGCCGCCTTCCCCGGCGAGGAGTTCAAGAGGCCCACAGCACAGGGAAGGAACGCGGAGTATCTCCCGCGGCTACCCCGCGCTTCGAGAGACTCGGGCTGCCTGAAATAGCCCGAGGGCGAGGCAAGGGCTCGGTGCTGCTCGGGTTTGGGCGCGGAGTATCGCCGCGGTTCAAAGGCACGCGCCTCTGGCTGTGTGTCTGGCTGGCTGGCTAGGACAGCGGGGCAGTGTGCTGCGCCAACAGCGGTGCCACTGAGGCCACTCATTAGCGCAGAGGACGGCCAGTGCCTTCCCTGTCTCTCTCGCGCCCCTGCGGAACGCCCCGCGAGTGCGAGAGAGACAGCGCGACGACGCCACAGCGCCACCGCGGGTGGTCGGTGCACGCGGAGGCCG